CCCCAAAACCCCAAAACCCCAAAACCCCATGAAATAAGATAAGGATTCTATTTTATTTAATCAAATCAAGTATTTTAATAAACAAAAGCATAATAGATCTAATTCATAAATTGACTCTCGCTCTACGCTTCTTCACTAATTTTTTCAGAGTCATGTTTTCATTTTCACTTGTGACTTGAGTCTAGATGATGTCTAAATTAATTTATTTCTAAGCCTTCTTATCCTTATTGTCTCTTTTCTAATCTTTCTATTTTAACTATGCATCCATTGGACTAGTAGACTAAAGCCTTTATAGGAGTGTCATCTTAGAATTTTCCTTCTTTATTTTTTCTTCCCAATCTTTTAATTTTCTTTTAAAGACTCCTCTTATAAGATTGCTCTCCAAAGTTTAAAGTTTTTTCCCCTCGAAAGATTGCATCATTTTTTTCAATTTCCCATAAGTAACTAATCTTATCATCGGATTTTTATGTTCCATTAAACTCAATGTATCCATATCATTATTATCAGAGTCAGAAGATTCAGAACTTGTCTCAAGAATATTTTACCTTTAAAATCTTAATAGCATCCTATGCTACTAATTTAAAAGTGATTATGAAAGCAATTTGAACTTTCTTAAGGTTTTGACAAGTTAAATAACATCTAATTCCATTTACAGTTTTTCCATTCCTTTCTAATAAAAGTAGTGTTATTTTAACTCCTAAGAATGTCTTAATTGAGTCAAATTTTTTAGGAACAGAAAATTCATAAAATAAGCCAAGATATCTTTGAATCTGTAATTAAATCTTAGTCTTGTTATAAAAGATTGTAATAGATTGTTTACATCTGCTTATCCAATCATACTTCTTCCCTTGATAATTTTGGCAACTATAGCTTCTCTTATTTTCATAGAGAGAGATTAATATATAGTAGATTTTAAATCTTCATTATCTTACTTGAATAAATTAGAAAAAGTCTATTAAAAAGGCCCTGATGGAACTGCCTCAATGTCATCATGTTTAATAGCATTTTAATTATTCTAAATTGGTATTTTATTTTAATCTTATCAAGAATAAAACTTTAAGTTTTTGATTTCATCAAAGCTGTTTTTATCTTTGTTTTTTAAGTTAAATTACTTTTGAGTTACATGTAATTTACCTTCATTATGTGATATTGGGGATTATTTCTTGCCTCTCTAGTGATCATCATCAATTTCAATTGATGTTGTTCTTATTTAATATATTTTATGCATTATATCGCTGAAAAACATGCGTTTAATAATCTAGCCAACAATAACAAAACCAATTGAAATCATTGATCTATAAAGTCCACCCATGTCTCCCAAGTATTCTAATAAAGAATAAATTTTTCTGTTGTATAAATCGTATTTCATATCAAATCTCATGTATACAACAGCAATATAACCTTCTGAATCAGAGTAGCCATCATCGTAAGTTCTTTCATTAGATATTTGATGAAATTTGTATGATTCATATTAGCCAAATTATATATAACTATCCTAAGTCTCAGCTTCTTAAAGTTATATATAAAAGTTCAATTTCTTTATCTTTTAAGCTTCCAATTCAAATAAAAATGAGTCGTCGATATATTTCTTGATGATTTTACCACTATCATACTCTTGAAAGTCGAAGTAAGTATTAATAAAAGCAAAATTGAATGTTTCTTTCTCAAAATATTCATCTATTTTCTTACTATCCTGGCAAATAACAGCTTATTTTGATGAATTCTGACATTTCCATAATTTGATTTCTACAAATTCAAAATTTTATTAGTAGAAAAAGCCTTAAAGTTGATAATCATCGTCAATTGCACACAGGTACTTAGATATTCCTTTCAAAGCTACCTCTTTTTAATCAGTAAAATTAAAATGTTTGTCTTAGCATTTATCCAATCTCAGATTCCTTTCAGTCTTATTCATTACTTTTTTGCCATTTAATTCAAACTAATCTGTCTCATAATAACCTATCTATTTAACTGTGAAATACCCAATCGATGGGTCTAGCTCAGAACTCACTCCGAATGCAAAGTCAAAGCCCAATTCTTAAGGTTTATATATTTATCCATCATTCATTGATCTAATAAGGGAAATTGTTGATATATTTGCATCAAATTTCATATACAAATAGTAAGCTCTGAATACTCCGTAACCCGAGAGCATCATTAATAAAATTATTGAAACAAACGCTCCTATTGTTGTCTTAAATTATTCTTTCCCATGAAAAGTTAGTTACACTCACTATCCAAATTGATCAAGCATCTTAAATTTCTCAGAAAATGATTGCCAATTAGTTACAGGAGGTCTAATATTGACTTATCTCTAAAAATTATGAAAGAACAGATATTACTTTAGGTGCTTTTACAGATTGCATTAATTATAATAAATTCTTATCTAGATTAGAGATCTGAGATTAGTAGTTTAAAAATTTTGCTTATATGAATAACACACTTTATATATTTTTCACTTAAAATAAATTCAGTCTGACTTTGATGCAAATATTAGAAGCGGGGTTTTGGGGTTTTGGGGTTTTGGGG